TAAGGGAGATGGAACTCAGGAAGAGTTTCCGGCAAAGGAGAAGCCTGAGGCAGAGGTGGGTCAGGGCCTGAAAGGGGGAGGGAGGGGTCCTGAGGAGAGCTGCAGGCTAAGGGGCAGTGAAGGTCGGAGACACCTGAGGTATTTAAATGCTAAGAAGGAGACTCAATGTGAAAGGGGAAAGCAAAGGAGAGGAAACAGTCTCAGGAAAGGGGAAGCTTAGCTAGGTGGGGGCAACTCCTTTCTCAGGAAATGAGAAGTGACTGGAATGATCCACAGAGAAACACTGCAGGTACCAGAGAGTGGTTGGGTTTGGTGATGCCCACGTGAAGGCTTCTAGTTCTCAGGAATAAGGCAGCCAGTGTGGAGGTGCAGGCCTGTGATCCCAGCACTCAGAAGGCTGAGGCAGGAGGACTGCAAGTTTGAGGGCAGCCCAAGCAACTTAGTGAAACCCTGTTTCAAGACACAGAACAGAAAGTGAGAGAGTCACTGCTCAAAGTGACAGGCAGAGCCGGGGGTGGTGGCTGAGGCCTGTAATCCCAGCCCTCAAGAGGCTGAGGCAGGAGGATCACTATGAGTTCAAGACCAGCCTGGGCCACAAAGTGAGCTCAAGGCCAGCCTGAACCACATAGCAAGACCCTGTCTTAAAAAGACAACAACAAAAAGTGACAGACAGGATGACAGTAGGGTGACAGGATCAAGATCTGGGGTACAGCCCTAGAAAGCTACCTTACCACTTTGGCACTGGCTCCCCAGCAGCTCAGTAGCTCAGCCCAGAACCGGGCTCTTGGACTATCTCTCAGGGTAGAATTCCACTGCTCAAACCAAGGAGCCCCAGAGGGGTACACCCAGGGACGTGGGCAGCACAGACCAAAGGGAGCAAGAAAACAAGCCCAGGGACTGGCCAAATAGCTCAGTGGATTAAAGCTCTTGCAAGCAGGCACAGGGGCTGGGGGTTTGCTGAGACTAGGCGTGGTGGCGTACGCCTGTAATCCCAGCTCTTGAGAGGCTGTAAACAGGTGGATCACTATGAGTCTGGTCTACTAGTGAGACCCTGAACACCCTGTAGACCCATCCCTAAAGTACAAATTAAAAAAAAAAAAGCATACCAGCCCAAACTGATGGACCCGAGTGGCAGAATGTCCACATGGGAACTGGGTCATCTTCAGAAAGATACTCATCAGATCAGCTGAAGGCGCCGACAGCGGGCTGGCCCTGGGCTGAACACTCACAAGGCCAGGCCTCCCCGCACCTCTCCTCGCCTGCCTCCATGCCTGGCCGGTCCTCAGGACGGGCACATTTTCCCTTTAGACAGCAGTAAATCCAATCACACTGAACCATTCCTGGGCCTTTATCTCTGGGCTCTATATTCTCAGTGAGTTACAACCCAGCCCCCTAAACATTTCCCAGTCTGGAAGTACACAGAGCTGGGACCCCGAGGAGCCCGAGCCCCGGAGGAGCCCCAGAGCCCTGCAGGCAGCAGTGCAGAGGAGCCACATGCAGCGCTTCAGCCTCAGCCTCCAGGGCCTGATATCGCTAGTGCTGCCAGCAGCCACAGATACCATGTAAATGAGCCTTGAGGGTGCACCCCAACCCTGCTGCATTCATAAAAACAGACAAGTGTGGCAGCACATGCTTATCATAATCACAGCGCTTGAGGCTGAAGCAGGACTGCTACAAGTTCAAGGCCAACCCCAGCTACATGAGTAGTTCAAGACCAATCCAAACTACATAGCAAGACCCTATTATCTCAGAAAATCAAAAAATTGAACAGAGACTGTGGTTTGACCTCCCCTCCCCCCACTGTACCAGCATGCAACCCCCACCTGGCCAACCAAGTGCACCGTGAGCGCTCAGCACGTATGTGTCTAGGGCTGGCCACCTGAAGGCCTTCCTCCCTCATCTACCCCAATGTCCTCCCGCTGTCGAGTCCTATCCCTCCCGGGGCAGCACTGGATGGACCAGCCTAGGAGGAGGCAGGTGGGGAGGCCGTGGGAGCTGCAGAGCTTACCTATGGGGAGCTGGAGCATTCCAGGGCCAAAGCCCTGTGGCCAAGGCGAAGAAGGTGCTCCTTAGCAATGGCCCCGAGCTGGGGTTGGGTGAACTACACCACCTCCCGCGTGCCTGAAGGGCAGGGAGTGGCTTGCACGTACTCCTCCCCTGGGAGAATGTGCAGGAGCCTGCCCTGAGCTGGGAGCCTGAGGCTAAGCCTGAGACTCAGGCATGGAAGCACAGGATTCCAACCTCTGGGCACAGCACACATCCCAACCCAGCCCCACCCCTCTCAGCAGCTTACTCAGAGCAGGGGCTCAATAAACACTTGTGCAGCTCTTAGCGTGTCTCTGTAGTTGTCAAATTACAGGTCTGGTCTTCCTCATTACACTTTCCTATGTTCCAAATTTCCAACTATTAGAAACAACAGTCAAAATCTTTGTTAGAACAAAAACAAAGTGTAAAGACCCTGTGAGAGCAGCCAGTCTACCTCAGGGCTTCCCCTGCTGCCCAGTGAGCCCTCTTTCTAGCCCTGCCATGGAGCGCACCTTGTGAAAAAGGGGGCCTGGCCAGTCCTGCCCCTTTGGGCCTGCTGCTGTTTGTCTTTGGATTTCTAGGAAGTGGTTATTATACTGTTCATGGGAGCAAATAGATAAGGCTGTTTGCAAAGCCTTCCTTGGCGAGGGCTCCAGACCTGCTGAGGCCCCTGCCAGCCACACAGCTGAGGGGCTGCAGGGCTGTCTGGGTCGGCACACACCTGCCTCTGCTTTCAGAAACCTGGATCCTGAGGCCGCTAGGCCCCACCTCAGAACAGCAGGGAGAGAAGAAAATGAGGCAGTCTTCTAAAATGCAACACTGGCGGCTGGGGAGATGGCTCAGTGGAATAAGCGCTTCCCTAGCAAGCACAAGGGTCTGAGTTCAATCCCCGGTTCCGCACAGATATGATCCCAAAAAATCCCAAACAATGACAGCCTCACGAGACTGCTTTCCAGTAGAGGAGGGAGAAGGCTGCCATCAGTAGCTCTGGTTAGTTGAGACGATTCCTGGCAGAAGACACTTCCCCACGAGAAGACATGACCATACTAGTGCATGCCTCCAACACAGGGACCCCACAGCCACCTCCCTGGCATGGGGTATAAGGCTGGCAGGCGCTCAGCAGGCCAGAGTCCTGGGTTCCCACCAAGTAATACAACAAACTCCGGCGAAGACCGGACGCAGTCACCACTGTGTCCAAAGATTAACACAGCGACAAAGGCACCAAACACACACCTGTTGCACAAAGCTGGTAGCAGCACTCGTGGGGACTACGCTAGGGAACTAAGATCAATCAAGGGTCGTGGGAAAAATCTTTTTATCTTTCATAGAATATGAATGTTCATGTTTAGTTTTGAAAGGTTTGTTTGTAAATGCACATAATGTAACTAAAATAGCTAAAATATCCTAATTTGTTGTTTATCTAAAGCTATGTCAATTTGGCAGGGTTTCCCTATATTGTCCAGGCTGGTCTCAAACTTGAGATTCTCCTGCCTCGGCTTCTCTAGCGCTGATTATACATATGTGTCATCGTGCCTGGCTTTACTTAAATGTGGATGTAACTTAGCAGCACAGTGCCTGCCTGGCAAGTGCAAGGCCCTGAGTTCAATTCCCAACACCAAAAAGTAAATGTAGATTTTAAAAACTTTTTCTTTCTTTTTTTTTTGCTATACTGAGAATCGAACTCAGGACCTTGCCCTTGTCAGGCAGTGCATATGCCACTGAGCTATCTCCCCCAGCGCACTTAGAAACTTGTTCTGAAAACTCAAAACAAATTCCATTTGTTGCCTTAGAGCTTACCTTAAGTGATACTGCTAAAGAAAAAATAATCATAAACAACAATTCAGCCCTTCTCAGGTGCCAGGCAATTTCCTAAATGTTTCTTAGTGTTTTCTTAGCCCTAGCAGGTCTATATGGGAGGCAGGAAGCCTATTTTACTTCACGGAGAGAAAAATTGAGGCAGCGCCTCCAGGGACCAGCTAGAAACCGCTGGATGAAACCGGCTGCCCTAGAAGCAGGGGCAGGGTGTTGGTCCTCATCACCCCACTGCTCCGCAGAGCTGGAAACACCACCCACTCCTCAGGCCCTCAACTGGCTTAACAGATTGTCATCTGAAGAGTTTAACAGATAAATATTTAATGAAAAACAGCAAACAGTCCTCCCAGGGAAGCTCAACCTGCCTCTTAAAGGGAGGACGGGCTTCCTCGTGACCAGAGGCAGAGCCCTGGAGGAGGGTCCCCTGGTCCCCTCATCCTGCCATGCAGGGCCTAGCGCAGTCACCCTCCCAACTACCTGCAGGAGCAGGGACATTTGTCTGTCTTGCCACCACCAGCGCTTGGAACAAAGCTGGTACTTAACAGGTACACAGCAGACCACTGGGCTGAAGGAAGGCAAGAAAGCAAAGGAAGGGCTCAGCCCCGGCCTGGGGCCAAGAGAAGTGCAGCAGTCGGGAGCCTGGAGGCACTACCCCAGGAGAGCCCCCGCAGCCCCCCAAAGCACCTGAGCCTGCGGACACGGGACCACACACACACCCCAGAATGTCTCACTCCACCTACAAGAGGTGGCCACCCCCACAACTGATCTGTGACTCAGCTGATATGCAGACCCAGACAGAAGCCCTCAGGGTGGGCCCACAGGCAGCCAGACATCCTCCCCGCCCCCCAGATGGCCCAGTCTTTCACCAAGAGAAGGGAGTCATACCTCACTTTGCAATTCAAAGAAGGCTAAAAACAAAGCAAGGAACCCCTATTCAGTAGATCTGAGATAGCAAGGCACATTTTTTCCCGGAAAAACAAGCATTAGGGAGGCACACGTTGGGTTCAGCATTTGTGTGGGTTTTCTTTGGGGTTTCTGGGGTACAAGTTGGAAAAAGTCCTCCTCCAGGGTCCCAGACATGAGACTCCAGGAGGCACACGAAGGGGCCCTCCATCACTTAGATATCCCCACCCGCACCAGAACCTGGGCACTGCCCACCGCACCTTGGATGGTTCTCTTGAAGAAGGCTTTGCAGGCCTCGCAGGAGGCCACGCCGTAGTGGTAGCCAGAGGCAATGTCCCCGCACACGAGGCACAGGCGCTTGGGGATGGCGTTGAGCATGTACTCGCACTTGATGGCCGAGTCCTCCATGATGCCGCTCCCACAGTCCTCGTAGCTCTTGCGGCACGGGGTGCCTCCCAGCCCCGCGCCTGGGAACATAGGCGGTGAGTCCAGCCCATTGGCGTGGGTGCCCAGGGCCAGGCCAAAACCACCGCTGGCGTCCGACGAGCCGCTGGGGCTGTGGTGGCTGAGAGCATCGATGCCCGAGGACGGGCTGGACGGCTCAGTCTTGATGAAGGAGCCGCAGCTGGAGCCCAGGTGCCGGTCGTCCGTGGACATCCTGTTCAGCAGCCTGTGGACACAGCGCAGAGTCAGTGGGTGGGGGCGGGGCACCAAGGGGCGGAGCTCTAGCTCCGGCCTTTGCGAGAGGCAATGGTGGCCCAGAAGGCCAACGGCACAACCCAGCCTAGGTTTCTGCCATCACATCCAGAACCTTCTGGGTCCTCAAAGAAATTTAGCCAGGCGTGTTGGCGCATGCCTGTAATCCCTGCACTTAGGAGGCTGGGGCTCGAGGATTGCTACCCCCCTGGGCTATATGGTGAGTGCTAATCTGAACTACGTAGCAAAACCCTGTCTAAAAATCAACAAGAAGGGCCGGGGAGATAGCTTAGTAGAATAAATGCTTGCCTGGCAAGCACAAGGTCCTGAGTTCAATCCTCAGTAAAAAAAAAAAAAAAAAAAGAGGGGCCGAGGACATGGCTCAGTGGAGTAAGTGCTTTCCTGGCAAGCACAAGGGCCTCGGTTCAATCCCCTGTTCCACAAAAAAAAAAAAAAAAAATTTAAAAACAAGAAAACAAGGTAAAAACCAACAAAAAACTGTTCTGATCAATAAACTTCAGATCAGTCACCTCGTGCTCAGGCTTGAGGATAGCACAACTATTCAGCCCAAATTTTGGCCAACATGAACTGGGTGTGATGGGACACACCTGTAATTCCAGATTTTTTTTCTGAGTCACGGTCTTGATATCCAATTCAGCCTGACCTTGAGCTCAAGCCAGTCTTGAACTCACAGTGATCCTACAGCATTAGCCCTGAGTACTGGGATTACAGGTGTGCACCACCACACCCATCCTGCATCAGCACTTTGGAAGGCTGAGGCAGGAAGATCACAAGTTTGATCCCACCTAGGCAACTGAATAAGACTATCTCAAAATAAATAGGGCCAGAGATATAACTCAGTGCCAAGGCCCTGGGCTGAAGGCCCAGTACTTGGAACAATGAAAAAAGAAAAGGGCCAACCTTCCTGCCCAACCACAGTGACTACAATGTAACCATCCTGGTGTCCGAGCCCTGGATCAGGAATTCTTGGTAGGATGATATATAATCATCCACTTCTCAGGCTGTTCCTGCATGACAGTGATCCCTTTATAAACCAAACTTGGTACTTCCCTCCATGCCTTGAGGCCACCACTACCGGAAGGAACCCCACATGGAGGCATCAATTAGGGCAAGAAAGGCAGCCTGAGGCAGAGGCTCCAGCTGCTCTGGCTGCTCTGCGGGTTTTGACTTGGTCCTAAAGAGCACCTCCAGGAGGCTCCTGGACCCCCTCTCAAGAGGCAGGCTCTGCCCCCCAGGAGACCTTGCTTCCCACCAAAAGCACCAGGGAGCCTTTTCCACTCACCCTGCCCAGCTGCCCACCCCCAGGTTGTTGCTTTTCTATGCAGGGTGGTGCCCTGCTGCCCAGACTGGGTTAAAGCAGTCCTCCTGCCTCAGCCTCCTGAGTAGCTGGGAACTACATGTATGTGCAACTAGGCCCAGCCCACAACTATGTTTTCTGCCTGAATTTGCATGGGATTTTTCTTCAGCCCTAAGGCTCAAACCCAGGGACTAGTGCATGTTATACAAGTGCCCTGCCATGGAGCTACAACCCCAGCCTTCCTGTGAAGCCTCTCCTTAACCTCGAAGACTGCCTGCTTCCAGGAAAGCCAGGAGCTCCCAGGAGGTGTGTGGACCCTCCTTCCCTAGGCAGGGAGGACACAAGCTCACAGCATGGGGCTAAGGTGTGTTCCAAGTAGCTCTGCTCAGCTCTCCCAACCACCAGGGCTGGGATCTGAGCTTCAGGGCCCATCAGGTCTGTCTGCTCCAGGCCTGGCAGGGTGACTCCAGGGGTGGCTGCACTGTTAGAGCTTCCTCTGCAGGGAGGGGAAGAGGTGATAAAGACACCTTTGGGACCAGCATAAGGAAGGGAACAGATCTTGGAGAACACAAAGAGTGGCTGTGGCCGTAGCAGAGCCCTGGTGATGCAGACTCGGGGCAGGAGGGAGGGCCCCTGGGCCTCTGAGGTAGTGGAACCTTGTCAGGCAGCCCCAGAACTGGTCACTCCCTAGGGAAGAGGCTGCCTCATCAGCCCCTCAGAGCCACCCCTCACCCCAGTCCTTGGCCACACACCATACCCCCAAACATTCCCTCTGTGACTCCATGGTCCACATTCCTCTGGAGGGCTGCACCTGGCTGCGTCCAGGAAGAGAGGACTCTTGCCTCATCAGGTTCTAACCAGAAGGCTGGCCTGCACATACCAAGATAAAGACCACCTTCTCTGAGCTTACAACCTTCTCTGAGCTTACAAACCCCTGGCTAGCACATTCTGAATAGAATGTCCCTGTCCTCCAACCTCCCTTACATCAGTAGAGGCTTCTCCAGCTGAGGGTCTTTTTGGGGGGTCCTTTTGTGCCTCTGGCCAATGTCACCCACCACCCCTCCAGTCACCAGGGGTGTCTCCAGGGAGGACCCCATCCAGAGGAGCACACATGGGGGCGCCTGTGGGCTCTGCCCAGTCCCCCTCTCTCAGGGCAGGCTGAGGACAGCTGACACACACTCTTGAGCCTCCTGCCTCAGCTCAGGCTGGGATGTAGGTCTGCACCCAACGCCCAGCTTACACTCTGCTCTTTTTCCCAGGAGCATCACAGGCCCACTGCAAGCCTGCAGGGCCTGAGCTCAGAGACCCAGGCCTCCACCTAGCCCGAGGGGCTCCCAAGCTTTCAGGGGACACGCCTGACATAAGTGGTCACACAGGCCCCAGAAGTCAGCACATTCCATGTGTCCCTCCCTTCAGATTGTCCTTAGCCATGCAGAAGCATCTGCCCTGAGGGAAGCAGACTAAGCACAGCTTCTCCCAGGATAGGGCCCAAGAGGGCAGCAGTTGTGTCCCCAAACCTTGCCCTCCCAACCTGCCCCTCCTTGACTCAGAAAGGCCCAAGGCAGCTTGCATCATCAGGGTGTCCCCTGCAAGTCCTCGCTGGCACCCAGGACTAAGAAGGAAACATAGCGGTGCGGGCCACCATCAGAGCTGGCTCAAGAAGCCAGCTGTGGACTGGGTGCCCGAGCACCAGTTTGGGAGGTAGGGGTGGCTGAAGATGTCGTCCCTTCAGCGTTCTCATGCCAGGGACAGTGAGCACACATTTAGAGCATGTACTACCACACACCAAAGTGCTGGCGGGTAACGGGGAGAGGACGGACAAAGCCCAGGGTCTCAAAGCCAGACTCTCAGAGGGATGAGACCTTGAGCAAGGGAAGGTGCAAGTACAGGGAGCACCACAGAGAGCCATGGGGCGCCACGCCCCTCGGGCTCCCCACACCTACGAGGCACACTCCACTTGCTCTCTCCCCGCATGCCTGCAGACTGTGTGGAAGCGCAAGGCCACAGCTCCATTTCTGTGTCTCAAGTTGGTGCCAGTCTCACCCACTTGCTTTCCTCACTCACTAGAGCCTCCTACCTACTGCCCCTCTGCTCCAAGTCTCACTGGCGTGTGGTTGCCGTTCTCCAGGCCCAGCCTGGAGACCTGATGCTGGAACCCTGATGGTCTCCAGCAGCCACAACCAGTTCTTTTATTTATCTATCCATCTTACCAACTCCTCACAAGCTGTCCTCCCAGTGCTGTCACCCCACTTACAGATGAGATCAGTGGGAAGACAAAGCTTCTCCAAACCCCCAAGTGACTGCGAATGGGCTACAGACTGGTGCCTATGGACTACGGACTGGGGCTCTTTGCTTTACTGAGCTTTGTCTCCTGAACCCCAGGCCTGAGACCTAGATTTTACCAACCCCTAAGAGGCAGACTTTGTGCTCTGCAAGGTCATGTGAAGAAAGGAGGAGCTCAGGGTCCATTACACTTGGCAGAGAGGAGGTGGCAGGGCCCCAGCACGAACAGGTGGAAACACGGTGAATGTGTGCAGTAAATACACACAGTTCTCTCGAGACGTTTAGCCAGCCAGCGTGGTGCCTCTACGTACATGCAGCTCTGGTGTGGGCGTGGCAAGTGTGGCTTTTGCTGTTATCTTTGGTCCTCTACTTCTTTGAAGAGGAAGGGGATGTGTTGAGATTGGAAGGAATTTCAGATATTTTAAAATGACAGTGTCTTCTGGGCATAGTGGCCCACACCTGTCATCTCTGCTACTTAGAAAGCCCTAATCTGTAATTGGTGAATTCCCCAGTTCTCCAAAATACAAAAGGAGGTTTGCAAGTTCAAGGCCAGCCTGGCCAACTGAGTGAGACCCCTGGTCAAAAGTAAAGATCAGAAAATAAAGCTCAGTGGTAGCACATTCCTGGTTTCCATTTCTAATAGAGGGCAAAATGACAGGGTACAGATTTTTCATTTTGCCCGGAACACTCTAGATTCCACCACTGCCCATGGCACCGTCATCAGCCCTCATCACCCCCCTTCTTCTCCGAGTAGAATTACAGGTTCAGTATCCCTTATGGGACTACTTAGGCGCAGAAGGCCTTGGGATTTCATACATTATCAGACTCTACCATAGCTGCGTATCGTGGGGTGGGACTAAGCTCAGAGCACGTTTAGGTGACACCTGGTTTACCTAGCTGCCTACAGGTAAATTTGTACAAATTCTTTTTTCAGTAGTAGCGATCAAACCCTTGGTCTTCTTGGGTTTTTTCTTTTTAACACTGATTCACATCCCTAGCCCTGTACAAATGTTTTTAATAACTTTTTAATAACTTTGTCCATGAAACAAAAGTTGGTGTGTGGTGAGCCGTAGAACCTGTGGCATCGTGTCAGCACTCTAAAAGTTTTGTATTTTGGAGAACTGGGGAATTCACCAATTCCAGATTAGGGCTGCTGGATATGTACGTAGTCGCTCTGTTAAATTGCTAATGGCAAGCCGGGCGCAGTGGCACACACCTGTAATCCCCGAATTCTGTTGGCTAAAATAGGAAAACTGAAAGTTCAAGCCCAGCTTGAGCAATTTATTACTTAGGAGACCCTGTCTCAAATTAAAAACAAAAACAAACAGAAAAAGGCTGGGAAGGGACCGGGGAGATGGCTCAGTGGAATAAGC